AACTGTACTGGAACGGAGCATGGTGTGGATTGAAAGCAAAGATGTATCCGGAATGCATCTGGAGTGCATTTTTGTGGTGTGAACTGGCCCTAAGGGCCGATTCACACTATAGAAACACAGTCCAGATTGCTTTCCGGATGTGTTTCTGCATGCACATTTTTGATGCATTTTTGGCGTGTTCTGGTTCGTTTTTGATGCAGTTTATTTTTTTTCATTTTTTCGTTTGTTTTTGATGCATTTTACGTGTTCCAGTACAGTTCTGTGCAGAAAAAATGCAGCCTGTTCTACTTTTTTTTTCTGCATCCGGAATGCACTGGAACTTACTTTCTGTGCATTTTGGATGCAGAAAAAAAAACACACTAAAACACATGTAATGTGAACTGGCTCTAAATAGGGACATATGCATTCCAATGTGATTTGGTGCATTTTTTTATAAATTTTACCATGTTTAAGTACAGTTCTGTGCAGGAAAAATGCAGCCTGTTCTACTTTTTTCTGCAACCAAAACGCACTGGAACTGCAAGCACTGATGTGAACTATGACATTGACAACCATATCACCTAATTTCTGCATGTTTTTGGATGCAGAAAAAAATAAACTGAAAGGCATGTAGTATTCTTTTTTGTTAGGATTACAAAATCATGCACATTAGCTATGTATGGTGTGTATCCCATTACCTGCAGGTGACTGCATTTGCTACAAATCTTCACCTCTCTGCCTTCCCAGAGCCACCAAATACTGCTCTTAGCAGCTGTCTTCTAGTGCTGTAAAAATTAACTGCATCACCTAGCAACAAGGAAAAGTGAAGTCACCTACCCACCCTCTTCTGCTCTCTCCACCATTCACAAAACTTGTCTTACTACAATCCCACAATGCACCACATTCTTTGAATGGGAGGAGAGGAACTGCCATTTAGCTGCTCCACTGCCCATTCACAGAACACAATACATTTTGGGATTCTGTCAGAACTTGAGTTCTGTGAATGACTTAAAGAACAGAAGGGCGGCAGTGCAACTTTCTGTGTTGCTGAAATTACAGTTAACGTTTCCAGTACCAGAAAACAGCCAAAGAGGACTGTACCTGCTGGCGGCAAGGAGGTAGACAGTGGAAGAATTGGAGCAGAAGCAGACACCTGCAGGTAATGGTATACACACCATTATAGCTAATTTCATAAATAAACTGTGCTTCTCTAAACCCCCATAAACAAAATATGACCATAACAGACATGCTATAGCAATACAAAATGACATTAAGGCTAAGTAGTCATATAAATATTGAATAAATCCAAGTAAAAAATCCCAGATAAAAAAGTGCTTGTGCAGGTGTAAACAAAATAGGTGCCTCCAGTGTTTCCATACAGACAGACTCTCATTACAAGTTGTTGACCTACTCTTACAAGTCAGGTCAGTAGAACTTGTGTTTGGGGATATACCCCTAGGTCTCCAATGACTTGTTCCTATGGATTCTTCTCAGGTGGTGTACCGTCATGCATGCAAATAAAATACCAGGGAGGATCTCACAATGTAAAGCCATTCAATTTTATTAAAACACATATAAATATTGTAAGAAAAAAATCACACTCACATTTGTAGGTGCCTTTAAGAACCAGCATTGTTTGGCTTGCATAGGGAGGAAAAGATGGCCGCAGCTGTGCATGTGCAGGAAACAAGAGTGTGCTCCAACAGGAGGATATGATGTCACCGGAAGTGACGTCAGCACGTAGACCACACCTCGGATGGTTTTATCCTGATTGGACCACTTATATAGAACTAGTGTTTATGGTGCTGTATCCCAGCAAAAAAAAATTATACCAACTTTTAGCTGCTTCAGTGTCAGTTTACAGTGTTAGGTTATAGCCCTTGCAGGGGCGGACTGACAACTCATGGGGCCCCTGGGCAATAGGGGATCATGGGGCCCCTGTGTCCTTGCCCAAACTCAAAAAAGCCTATGAAAAAGGTACCAGGGGCATCTCATGGGGCCCCCTACTGACCCCGGGCCCTTGGGCAGTGCCCGAGTTTCCAAATGGTCAGTCTGCCCCTTGGCCCTTGTAACTTCCACAGAAGGGGGCTAATGTGTATTTTACCACATTTAACATTTGTCAAATGTGGGTTTTAAAATATGGAGCATACATGCTAGGCACAAAATGTGGACTTAACCTACCATAGTTAGGTGACTATCTGTGGTTGTACTCTGTGCCTCCCTTGGAGGTGACTTGGAGAGGCAGACATTCCAGATTGTGTTATGTTTGTTATCCCCCTCCAAAAAAAAAATGTTAAAAAAGGAGCAATCTCTGGTGCCAACCTCCTCCTACACCATCTCAGACACATTGGTGCAGTGGGTGCTGGAGTTTGTCTGGCTCTGAGAATGCCTCACACATGGGGTTTCTGTAGGGAATATGAATATCATTACCTAACTGACCTATCTAGCAATATACAGTAATTCATCCTGTGGGTAAAGGACTAGAATACATAAAATGACACAAAGACTGCCTCTTTCACATCTTATTAACACTAAAATGTTATCAGATCTTACAAATTAATAGCTTTGTCATGGAGAAATGTGCATTGCTCTTAACTGACTTGGAAACCCTTGCAGCCAGAGTATTTCAAATTTGCAAAATGGTACAGGAAAAATAACTTATAGGAAAAGGCTGGAGGAGAGCACAGCAATGTGATGTTCAGTGATGTATTTAGGTTTTGTGCTGCCCTAGGCAACACAAAAATTCCCCCCCCCCTTCACAGAGATAGCTTGACACCAACCAACACCACCACCTCTCTCTACCCCCTCACCTGAGACAGCCTTCCATTACCACCACTCACCATGCTCCGGCCCCCCCCCTCCCAGCGAGAGAAAGATACTCACCTTCACAGCTCCAGACATCCCCTGGAATGGTCAGGCTCTGCATACACCGTCAAGCAGCCCACAGCCACTCACCTGGTCCCCATGCTGCATGTGTCCCTTCTTTGTCCCTTCCTCTGGGGAATGGTGCTGCCCCCCTGAAAAATGCCACCCTAGGTAAATGCCTTGTTTGCCTTCTGGTAAATACACCCCTGGTCATGTTAGTCAGTTGACCAGCTTTTCTATAATTATAGAACTCTTCATTAAGCAGATAGAACTCTATGCGGCTAAACAGGCTCAACAGCAAGTGACCCATTTTCAGAAGGGGTCATAATATGTAGTGCAAACTGTGAACAAATGTGTGTGGGGTATCCCCCAAAATTCATACCAAGTCCTTAAAGTCTGGTATGAATTTTACAGGAAACCCAACAAAAAAAAAAAAAGAAAAAGTGGGGAATCCTCCCAAATTCCATACCAGACCTCTTAGGTCTGGTATAGATTGAAAGGGAAACTTTAAAGATAAAACAAGAAAAGCATTGGTCCCCCCCCCCCCCCCCCCCCAAAAAAAAAAAAAAAAAAAAAAAAAATCTATTCTAGATTTCTTTCTGAACATGCATCCTGGTTGGGTAGGAAGCCAAACCATACCATGCCACATGCACTCAACAAGGGAGGGTAGTTTGCCAGGGGGGATTCCCCCTGGCAAAGTATCTTGCCCTCTTACGTACAACACAAATATTTGGAATTTTGTTTCCTGTGGTTGGGGATACAGCATCGTATATTGTGATTTTAAATATTATATGTTTTTAATAAAGCTGATCTATATTGCGCAATGTGCCTGTATCCTTCTCTCCTATGATGAAGTTTCAAGTAATATGTGGGAACTAAATAATAGCTGCTGATCAGAAGGGTTCAAGTCCAAGTAGATGTTGTTACCAACAATCTATATTTGACTTCCTTATACAGTAAGCTGTCAATATAGGGAAGTGAGATGCCACTACAAGAGGAGTGAAAGATAGGGTGGATATTATAGAGGATCCGTGTTGCTTTCACCATACACCTTTGGAATGGACTTTGCTGCACATTTATAATTGGTGTATATTATTTCACTGATGCCAATGATTTTTCGATATTGCACTTGTTATTTGATCGGTTACTATTGCACTTGAAATTTATATGATAAAAGAGTTTTATATATTGTTCTATTTTAAGACGGTTTATCTTAATCATTTTCATACTCTAATTGGGACTATTGTTTTTTATGGTCATATGTAGATTAATTAATTTTAGCACTTTTATTTACATATTTGCACATTATCTGTTATACAAGTGTTTGCACCAGGGCAGGGGGGGACTGACAACTCATGGGGCCCCCGGGCAATAGGGGATCATGGGGCCCCTGTGTCCTTGCCCAAACTTAAAAAAAGCCTATGAAAAAGGTACCAGGGGCATCTCATGGGGCCCCCTACTGACCCCAGGCCCTCGGGCAGTGCCCGGGTTTCCAAATGGTTAGTCCGCCCCTGCACTAGGGATAGTGGCAATATATGAAGTCAGTATATAGAAGACTGTTTTGTTTGCATATAATCATTTTTTATATTGTGCAGCAGCTATAAGATTAGGCTGATAGAGCAGGATTTTTTGGTTTATATGTCAATGATGATGCCCAATGCTTGCCGAAAGCCCCCCCCCCCCCCAAAAAAAAAAAATATCATGTGCACCCCTCCACCAAAATAAATGCAAGAAATACTTTCTGTTTATGATATATTACCAATGTTTTGAAAGGTAAATAGATCAACATAAGGAGGAAATCAATGCTATGACAATTCTTATATCATAGTAGGAACAACATTTCACAAAGAGTCACTTATATCCAGAAAGTACATACAGATCAGATGAAAAGGTCTAGAATTCAAAACTATATAACAAATACAAATTTAAATTTGTTACTACCTAAAGTGTTACTAAACTCAGGACCCTGCATTCACTATATCTGGTCTCCCACAGTACACACAACATGGAAGTGCAATTATTTTAGTAAATATAAACTACTAAATACCATTTCTTATAAGAAGTTAGAGCCGTCTTATTACTTCTATCTGTATCCATCCCAGCACTAGCTAAAACTTGTAGGAGGAGTTTTCTTTCTGCTCTAGAAGGATGCAAATCCCCTGACCTCTGTCTGGACAGTGCTGATTGGCCCTGTGCTGATCACATGCACTCTCCCAAGAAAAAAAAAATCCTCTCTAGCAATACACACTAAACTGAACATGTGCATGCCTACGGTTCAGTCTGGAGATAAGTGGTGGTCGCTTGAAAAAGGGGAGGAACAGAGAAGAAAGGATCAAATAACCTTTTTATACAATGCAGAGGATTAACCCCTTAGGTTCCACTGTGAGTATAACAAGCATGCTTTACTGCATATACAGGCTGATTTTACTGCTGTGAGTTTAGTAACACTTTAAGAGTAGTGATGGGCTGCATGTTCGAGCCCAAAGTCAGTTCGAATCAAACATGGGCCGTTCCTGTGTTTCGTTGAACACACAAACTGTACGGGCGTTCGGTGGGCTGTTTTCCCGCCACGCCCCACGATGCACTATGCCCTGACAGTGCATTGTGATTGGCCAAAGCATTGCACCTGACCACAGGTCAAGTGCAATGCTTTGGCCAATCACAGGACATGATGATGTCACAAGGGGGTGAGGGTAATCTCGCCCCCTCAAGAAATCATTACCCTATTTAAGAACTGTCATCGTGGCACAGCTGTCAAACGGCGGGAGCCAGCATTGAGGGCGGAGTGGATTTTTTTCTTTTTTTTCGGGTCGGCGGTGGCGGCGGGCATTGTGATTGACATCATATCTACTTCGGGGGACTTTTTAAAACATTTTTAATAAGGGACTTGTCAAAGACTGTCTCCTGGTTCTTTTTTCACTACACTTTTTTTTTGTGAATGGGTAACGATACCATGTACCGCATACTTATTCACATGGGGGGAGGGATCTGGGGCCCCCTCGTTAAAGGGGGCTTCCAGATTCTGATAAGCCCCCCCACCCACGGACTCTCAAAACCACCGGCCAGGGTTGTGGGGAAGAGGCCTTTGTCCCCATCAACATGGGAGCAAGCTGCTTGGGGGGAGCCTCCCTGCCCCAAAGTACCCCCCCACTGTTGAGGGCATGTGGCCTGGTATGGTTTAGGGTGGGTGCTTGCTCATCTCCCCCTTTTCTGACCTGCCAGGCTGCATGCTCGGATAAGGGTCTGGTATGGATTTTGAGGGGACCCCCAAGCCATTTAAAAAAAAAAAGATTGGTGTAGGGATTTCACCTCAAAATCCATACCAGACCTGAAGGGCTTGGTATAGATGGGAGGGGGGACCCTATGCAGTTTTTTTTTTAATTGTCAGGCAGTGCTGACAATTCTTTGACTTTCAGCTACTAAAATACCACATGACTTAATAATATAACTCATGAGGTATTTTAGCAACTGAGCAGTATCTTACCACATACTCAGATGCAGTAAGATACCGCTCAATAAATTGTCCATGTTTGAAGTTCAAGGTTGAACTTTTGGTAGGTTTGAATATTCGACCGCGAACTGAACAGGGGGTTGTTCAGCCCATCATTACTTAAGAGCAATATTTGATTAAAATGTGCTATTGTAAAAAGAGCACATACACATAAAGGGAAATCATTAAACTACAAATTGCCATAAATTATCCAAAAGAAACTTAAACCATTGCACTTCAGTAAATGAGATGGTTGGTTTGCTGTATGTCATTTAGTGCAAAATTGCTTGGAGGTTAATCCATTGCTAATGCTGCCTAGCGAGGCTGATTCATGTGCATTTTTGACACCTTGCATTGCTTTATTGAATTTTAAATTTGGATAGAGTAGAGTGGTTTGGATTGTTGTCTGTGCTGCCATTATTTAATGTTCTATTTGTGTCACCAGGAATGTAAATAAGGGTAGATGCTAAATATGGATTTACCACCAGAACTGGTATACAGGGGAAATCTTCTAATGTAGACATTTGTTCTGGTGACAACTATCTAAGAGGAGATTTCACTCACATTGCAAAGATATCCTCACAATTTCTGTTAAGTCTACAGCAGAGTGAGTTAAGGCACATTCTCTAAATAATACACAGATGGCAAAAACCTAAAAAACAATTAAAGAGGTTTATCTATTCCCTACTCTATCCAAAAAGGAAAAAAATGGCTTTAGATATACTTGGATACTGTTTTCAACACTCCAAGTTTTACCAGCTATATACTGTCATAAAGTACTCATGATAGTCTTGTCTACAAAAGAAAATAAAAAATTGAGGCCTTATTTTAGATCCAGGGCATCATCATTGGGTCTCTATGTTTCATTATACAATGCGGGAATAACATGATTGGTGTAAGGGACTAGCACGCTGGTGGTTTAAAAAAACATCACTCTGCCTATGATTAATTATTATTTCCATAGAAAGTAATCTGGGCAAGCTGTCAGAAATATTGTGTATAAGGTAACATTGAAATGCTCCAGGTTGTGGGGGCTGATATATGTGTGGGATTTCACTTGTCTGAAATGTATTTGTACAAGAAATAACACACATTAATTGTTACAGATCACTAAGGTAGGAACGCACTATATTTTTCTGAGCATACAACATGTTTAAAGGGATAAAAATAAGAAAAATGTGCATGTATTGCAGAGATGTACTAATTTTTTTTTTCTTTCTTTGACACGCGCTTTAACCAATAAAAAGTGATGCAGGGCCAATGCAATTAATTTCCTATTTCTCAGCCACAGCGTTAAATATTCATGCTGAAAATGGTTTACTAAGTTAGGACAGGTTTTGTATTAATGTCTGTCACAAGGTAATATTTTTTTTACAACATCATTTATATTTAAATTAGTAGACTCCATTTTCATGTCACAACTAATGTAGGAGATATTATTCATTTTATTAGTGAAAAAGTGCAGATTAATTGATGCTTGCGTTAATGCAACAGTCTTCTTTAATGTCACATCTTCATAAAAAAGTCATAACAATATTTCCTGTGCCTATTAAAAAGTCACTTTCATTTTCCTGCATGATACAAGGGTGACTATATCTAACCAAAAATGTCAAACAAAGATTAATTAATGAAACATTAATCAATGTGATCACTTCTATGAAGTTTTAGATTCAAGTTTTTCCTTTTAATTATTGTAAATATTTATAGTATCTTGAAATTTGCAATTTACAGTTTTTAAATCTTATCCCCGAAGTACATTCCATAAAGTATTATGAGAGAAAGTTTCAGACTACATTATAAAATATTACTCCAGTAAATTGCTAATCACTGGTATCTGAGTAATCAGTTAAAAGTTTAACTCGGACTCTCAGTAGTGATCAAAAGTGGGGAAAAAAAAGACTTAGTCGTTAGAAGAAACTGTTGAGAAAAAGATATCCTTTTATTAGCTGCTGAGATATCTATTAAGGTTAAATATAAAACATAATATAAACTCACCAGTGGAGGACAAAGGTTGTAATGCTGGCCTTGCCTCATTAATCATTATAGCGAGATAACATCAGAGTTTCTTGGGTAGAGGACAGTTGGAGATAGATTTATCAAAGCATCTTACATCTATGTAGGTCCATGAAGAAATGAATCAGATTTACCTGTCCAGTAGAATGACTGTAGGCAAATTGAAGTTTGAATCCCATTAGCTACTGCGGTGCCATCCACACAGTTCTTATGAAAGACACTTTGATAAATAAGGGCAGCTGTAGTTATACATCTACAAAAAAATAGCTCAACTTTTTTTATATAATTTGAATAGAGCAGAGAAAGGTTAGGGCCTTGGGTTTTTTATTGTCATCTATGTCCCTATTAGATTTCTGTTAGGTGAGGTACAGTGGAAAATTTAGTGCTAACAACACTTAAAGTGGGCTTTCACCCTAAATACTTACTTTCTTCTGCCTTCTCCTCCTTCTCTCACATGTGAAAAATTTTTTTCAACTTCATAGTATTTTTGTGCTGCAACACCTAGACAAGAATGATGTCCTCCCCCCCACAGAATGTGCCTCAGGGCTTCAAGTCCCAGCAAAGCCCTAGGGCATGGCACATCTGCACATAGGTCAGAGTAACACGATGATGGAGCCAAAGCTAAATGGGACTGATGTTCCTCTTAAAATCAATTTCGTGCCAAAATTGCCAAAGTATATAAGTAGTGAAGTTTTGTACCATATGTTTTTCAAGAATGGACCAGTGGCCCATTATTTACCCAGTGCTATTTATGAATGGCACTGGATAAACAGCCATTGGATGACCAATCTCCTGGGTGATCACTGTGTACTGGGTACCATATCACATAGTTCAGGCAGCTGCTGATGCATTCATTCTGTTGCAGTGACACAGGGATATTTTTTTTAGCCCCCCCTCCTACACATACTAGACAATGCCGTCTCTATGTGACCTGTAAATTAACCCCTCACCTCCCTTATCCTGCCCATATGAACACTAACACCTTCCTCTTCATCCTTCTAGGTATGTGACTATTGCATTAACCCCTTCACTTCCTCCTTCCCCTGTGTAGGGTCAGTACATTAATGTGTCTAATGTATCATTCTCAAGCTCTATGTTTAATCCCCTCAGTTCCGGCATGTTCTTTTATTTCGAAAATATTATTGGAAAACAATTAGATCACCTTCGGGTGTCAGCTTTCCAATTTTTTTTTTTCATTTTGGGGGGTGTATACTACTCTGGCATTTTTTATATTTTATCAAAAAGTATGGAAATTTTTTTTTTAAATGTTGGTCTTTTTTTCCTGTAGATAGTAAAAAATAAAAAAAAATCCAACAGTTAATAAATACCACCAAAAAAGCTCTATCTGTCACAAAAAAGATATAGAACTCATTTAGATACAACATTTCACGGAGGAGGAGTGATTGTTGGTCAAACTATCACAGGGCTGAAAACTGAAAAATGGCCTGGTAATTAAGAGGTATTAGTAGGCTGGTATGCAAGTGGTTGATGTTGATAACTAGGTCAGTACACCTTAAACAAAACTTCTAGTAAAAATTGTGACAATTGACAATAGTTTTAGGTGTGCAGACAGAGCAGGTAAACTCCCTTTCTGGCTCCATCAGCATTCCTTGTGTGGCTGTGATGTTTGAATATACAGTAGTAGCGTGGCACTAAGACTATAGTTAGCTGATATGGGTACGAGAATAGAGGAGGATAGTTTGCCTAGTTTCAGCTTTGTGCAT